GTACCAGGCAGTGTTCTAGGAACCAGGGCTACAGGAATGAATGAAACAGACCAAAAAGCCTGCCATTACAGGTTCGGTCAAGGAAAGGCGATTTGAAGAAAGAATGACTTGGGCTTAGCCTAGAAAATGTGTAGGGTCTGATTATGGAAGGAGGGAAAGCAGGGACCAGTTGGCAAACTACAGGGGTCCCTTCAGCAAGCCTGTGACCATTCTCAGCTAAGAATGTGCATTACATTTTTTAAAGGTGGAGGAGGGAGAGAAGAAAAAGGAATAGGAGGAGAAGGACTGTAAATATGATGATCTGAACAACCTTGAAGGAGGAGGACATGAACCCTGCGAGCAAACAGGCCAGGCGGTGAAAGGTGCCTTTGTTGTTTGTTCAAGAAGCCACGTGGAGCCTGGGATGGCTGGAGAGCACGTATTCAATGAGGAGGCAGTGGCGAGAGGACAAGGAGAAAGGCAAGACCTGGAGGCGAGGCTGCTGGAGCTGAGATTTCCTTTTCTCCGTAGCTGCTGCGATGGAGTGAACGCATAGGAAATTCGTAGACTGGTCTAGATATTTGGTTCTCACACTTTAACAATGTCTAATCTTAGGAGCACTTAAAAGAATAGTGTTTTGACTCATACGACAAGAACAGAACTCTAGAGAATAATTTTAAAAGTAACTTTTATGGAAAGTGTCAGCCTTTTATAAAAGCTCTGACCAAGCAACCTTAGAAACTTCCTCTCAGCAGATGAACCATCAAATGCCTACTGAGATCTCCAGATGCACTTTAAGTTCATCTTTGATGCAAAGGAAATCTCACTGGTACCCAATCCAAGTTCTGGTCTTCTGTTAGCATGGACAGGAGGACAACTACATGAGATATAACACAGAAAGCAGGAAACTTCTATACATCGTGGCATTAAGTAAGGACATAGCGTTCATAGGGGGATGACAGTCAACTACCTCTGCGGTTATTAATTGATACCAGATAAAGCAATTCCATAGCACCCATTTTTCACACATCCAATGGAGCTTAGTACAAGGCATGAAATATAACAATAACCCCAGAACTATTTTATTAAAGCTCAGAAAAAGAGATTAAGAAATTTGTGCTTGACATGATTATATTTATTTCTCACTAACACACTATTTTTTAAAAACAATTACCCATTTTAAAGCACCAAAATAGGGAAGACTACTGTATTAATTTCCAGCTGGTATTGCAACGCATTACGACAAACTTGGTGGCATTAAACAACATAAATTTATTCTCTTACAGTTCTGTGGTACCGAAGTCTGAAATGGGTCTCACTGGGCTAAAATCAAGGTATCAGCTGGACTGCCTTCCTTCTGGAGATGCAAACTTGATTCTTTGCTTTTTTCTGCTTCCAGAGGCTGCCCACATCCCCTGGTCCGTGGCCCCCTTCCACCTTCCAAAGCAGTAAGTCTTTCTCATGCTGCCACTGACTCTTTTTCTGCCTCTCTTTTCCACTTTTAAGGATTTTGTGATTACCTTGGGCCCACCCAGATAACTCAAAACAATCTCCCTATTTTAAAGTTAGTTAATTAGCAAACAACCTTAATTCCTTCTGCAACTTTAGTTCCCTTTTGACATGTAATGTAACATATTCACAGGTTCTAGGGCTATCTTTTGGGGGTCACTAATCTGCCTGCCACAACTTCAGCCAAAGGTAAACTCTATCAACAGTGCTGAAATCTTAGATTTGTTCAGCACCTTTATAGACATTACATAATCGTCTATATGCCTGAAAGGTAAATTTTGTACATAAAGTATTACCAAATTAATTGGTAAGCTTTTTCTGTGGGATTCATGGCTCGGGATTGCCAATAGAGCTCTACTGTACTTTTCAAATTCAAACAGCTCAAAAAAAAAGAGATATATAACAACTGAGACTTCTAGCCAAGATGGAGGCATAGGTAGATACACTTTGCCCCCTCACAGAACCAAAAGAAGGACAACAATGAATTTAAAAACAGAAAACAACCAGAACTTCCAAAAAATCGAACTGTATGGAAGTCTGACAACCAAGGAGTTAAAGAAGAAACATTCATTCAGACGGGTAGGAGGGGCTGAGAGGGGCATCCAGGGAGGAGAGGACTAGTGGCAAGGTGGCGGCTGGAGGACTGGGCAGGCAGATAAACCAGGAGGGACAACAGGGGCGCAAGACAGACCACACAACCCAGGGTTCCAGTGAGGGAAAAGAAAGCCTCAAAACCTCTGGTTATAAAAATCTGTGGGGGCTGCAGCAGCAGGAAAAACTCCCAGCCTTAAAGCAGAGTCCACTGGAGAGACCCACAGGATCCTAGAACATACACAAACCCACCCACGCAGGAATCAGCACCAGAAAGGCCCAATTTGCTTGTGGGTAGCAGGAGAAGTAACTGAAAGCCAAAGGAGAGCTGAGCAAGCAGCATTTTTCCCTCTCGGACCCTTCCCTGACGTATAGCACTAGAAGAGCAGTAACATGAGTTGTCCCGCCCTGGCAAATACCTAAGGCTCTGCCCCTTATAACATAACAGGCACACCAGACAAAGAAATATGGCCCAAATGAAAAAACAGATCAAAACCCCCCAAAAAGAATTAAGCGACAAAGAGATAGCCAACCTATCAGATGCAGAGTTCAAAACACTGGTAATCAGGATGCTCACGGAAATGACTGAGTACAGTCACAAAATAGAGAAAAAAGTGAAGGCTATGCAAAGTGAAATGAAGAAAAATATACGGGGAACCAATAGTGAAGGGAAGGAAACTGGGACTCAAATCAACGATTGGGAGCAGAAGGAAGAAATAAACATCAACCAGAACAGAATGAAGAAACGAGAATTCAGAAAATAAGGAGAGGCTTAGGAATCTGTGGGGCAATTTTAAATGTTCCAACATCTGAATCCTAGGGGTGTCAGAAGGAGAAGAGGAAGAGCAAGAAATTGAAAACTTACTTGAAAAAATAATGAAGGAGAACTTCCCCAATCTGGCCAAGAAAATAGACTTCCAGAAAGTCCAGGAAGCTCAGAGTCCCAAAGAAGCTGGATCCAAGGAAACACACACCAAGGCACATCATAATTAAATTACCCAAGATTAAAGATAAGGAGAGAATCTTAAAAGCAGCAAAAGAAAAGGAGACAGTTACCTACAAAGGAGTTCCCACAGAACTATCAGCTGATTTCTCAAAAGAAACCTTGCAGGCAAGAAGGGGCTGGCAAGAACTTTTCAAAGAGTTGAAAGACAAGGACGGACCTACATCCAAGATTCCTCTATCCAGCAAAGCCATCATTTAGAATGGAAGAGCAGATAACATGCTTCCCAGATAAGGTAAAGTTAAAGGAGTTCATCATCACCAAGCCCTTATTATAAGAAATGTTCAAGGGACTTATCTAAGAAAAAGGAAAAGATCAAAGCAATGAGCAGTAAAATAACAACAAACTCACAACTATCAACAAGTGAACCTAAAAAACAAAAACAAACTAAGCAAACAACTAGAACAGGAACAGAATCACAGAAATGGAGATCACATGGAGGGTTATCATCAGGGAGGGGGCAGGGGGAGAATAGGGGAAAAGGAACTGGGAATTAGAAGCATAAATAGTAGGTACAAAATAGACAGGGGGAGGTTGAGAATAGTATAGGAAATGGAAAAGCCAAAGAACTTATATATACGACCCACAGACATGAACTAAGGGCAGGGGAGAATGCTGGTGGGAGGCAGGATGCAGGGTGGAGGGGAATAAAGAGGAGAAACAAATGGGACCACTTTAATAGCATAATCAATAAAATATACTTAAAAAAGAAAGATATATAACAACTACTGAAATGCATATACTGTCTCTTGTTGGGAAGAGTACCAAAATCCTAAAATAATTACTTTTTGTCAAAGCAATAAATGTTTACCAGACAGTAGAAAAAGCTGAGCATTTAATGTTTTTTAAAACATTTGATAAAGGATATTTAATATTTTTGTTTATTTTAGTTCAACATAATAGAAATAATGGCAGTAAGGGAAAAGGCATTTCCCTTCCTACATTTTAATTTTTTAAAAAAGGATAAATTTGCACTGTGATATTATCCCACAGAGATATTTTAAGTAGGAAAAAAAAGATTTTTTTCCATTAATTTTATTCTCTTCTTACAGACTATTCCAAATAAGCTATGCTTCTCTTGGCAAAACAGCCCCATTTAGAGTCTCACCAGCCTCTCCCTTGGGGAACACAGACTCAGACAAGGGGGAAAATAAACAAGGCTAGACACCTGTCCCCAATGGAAAAAAGAACACACCTGGAGAGCAGCTCAGACAAAAAGAGCCAAGGAAGGAAAAACAGTAACTAGAGAAGAGAGACTGCTTCCAATCTGCTGCTGGTTTATAAAGTAAACCATTCCTGAAGCCAAGGGATACAGTAGCAGCACACTAAAAACTGGGACAAGGCGTGGCTGTGCCAGAGTATCTCCTTCAAGACTCCACCCTCATGACAGCCCTGCCAAGGACGTTTTTCCAGCGTGACCTGAGCCCAGTTTGGATCAAGAGACCCGCGTGAGATTGTCAGGGATCCTGTGCGCATCTCATTGAGGCAGTCATTTGCTCTTCGCTCATTCATGTTCGGCACTTAAGCGGCTGCACACGACGGAGATTTAAAAAAAAAAAAAGTAAACAAGGCGTAAGAGCACTTATCACAGGTATCACAGGGCATTCGGTCGCATCGGTGTTGGCCCTCTGTCTCTGAGGAGATCTATGTTCTCAAATCTCTAAGCCTATTTGGGGGGTGTCGGGGGATGACTGGTACACCCCGGGAGAACGGGCAAGGCACCTTTATACAAAGTGCGTAAGCCATCCAGTTTCCCAAAGTGGCTGCTCATACTGACGGAAGTTAAAGAGCGTTAGAAGTCCAGGCAGGGAAGCGGAAGGTCTTCCTCCTCCTTTTCCTTCTCGCGTGCAGGAGGCTGGGATTGGAGGGCCCAAAAAGGAGTTTCTCGTGAACCTGACTGCCTGCCCACGCTCCTCACTAGATCAATGGCCACCGCGTCCCGCTGCGCCACGACCTGTGGCATGGACTTGGGCGGGTTCTCGGTCAGGTTGGTGAGCTGGTCGCTGAGGACCAAGTACTTTAATTAGTGCTTCTCTGAGTCGGACACCACAATGCACGGTTCCTAGGCGCGGCTGGCGTCGTAGGCCTCTGGCGCCAGATGCCTGCGCAGGAACGCGTCCACGCGGCTGTTTGAGCGCGGTAGGAAGCCGGGCTCCGCGGGGCTGGGCCTGCGGGACCACAGCGAAGTGCGGAGCCCGGCGGAGGCTCGGCCTGGCCCCGCCTCCGCGCCGCCCGTGGTGGAACGCGCTCGTGCCACTAAGCCGCCAGCCTCGCGGCCGCCACCTGCCCCCTACCCCGAGCACAGGGGATGGAGCCCCCAGTTTGGAGCTTGACTCGGGAGGCTGGCTCCCTTGGAGCCCTCCCCCGCAATCCTTGCCCCAACCTCCGACAACAGTCGGGTAAGGGGGTTGAGATGCTGGTCGTTCCAGTTAACCACAGCCAAGTGCTGGCGCTGCGCGGGGCCCTCCGCCCAGCCCGCCCACACCCCAATTACCCCAGCTATTATGGACCATGCCATTCCTTACAAATGGTATTGAAGCAGCAGTTTTAAACTGGTTTTCCATTAGAAACTTGCACGAGATGAAATTTACCGATTTATTTTTTATATAGGCAGAACAATTCTAGGTTCCTATTAAGACCTATCACAAAGATTTAGCATTCGATTACAACATCGCCTGCAATAGCTCTCTAATTTTAATGAGTATAAGCGTAGGTCTTCTTTCTCTAACCAGCTAAAAGCATTCTGAGAGAAGCGAATCCTATCATAAATTGATTGGGCACAGTCAAAACTACCTAATGGACATAGTTGTGGTCTCAATACCCAGGACAAGGCCTTGGAAACAGTTGGAGCGCAATCTGTGTAGAATGAATGAATGAATGCGTGAGGCCTGCATGTTGAAAAATTGAAGTGTACAGGTTCAGAAATGCTATTACACAGCCTTGAGGCTGCAGGGTAGTAAAAATACTGCTTAGATTTGATAGAACACGAATAATATATAAAATAGGTTAGAGAGATGAGGAGAGTACAACAGAAACTTGCTTCCCAATAATCCTAGGTGAGAACTTTCATTTTAATTTCAAATCCTAAAAAAAGTCACTCACCCAAAGACCTAGTATATTGCTGTGTATAATGTGCACCTACGTTTAAAGATTGCCCATGTATAATGCGCATCCTTATTTTTCCCTGAAAAATGTGGGCAAAAGTGCACATTATACACTGCAATATATGAGGGGGCGTGTGTGTGTGTGTATTTTCCTCCAGCTACCCACAACCCAGAATCAAACTGCATATTCTTTATTGAAAGTTTTATTCTCCTTTCCTCATATACTGTATGTTGTAAGCAATTTCAAACCCTTTGTGGAAAGAGAGTATAAATAAATGAAACCGCATAAACGGATATTTTAGACTAAGTCACTACAAAAGGGAACCGAGAAGAAATGTTTGGGTCAAGCTAAACAAGTCTAAGGAGCTCAATAGCAACAAAGAAAAAGGAACAGTATTTCTTTCCTTGGTGAAAGTGTTTGGTGAGGAAAGAGAGCAGTGCCACCTGCTGATAAAAATCTCAAATGACCTAGCATTTAAAGTTTTCTTAGAATCTGATCATACATCTGACTTCTTAGAACTTCATAACTGGATGAAAAGTGAACTCCACAGGCAGGGCTATTTCCTCTCAAATAAAGACTATTCCCTACATAAACCAATCTAGACAGAGTTTGTTACTTCAAACCAACAGAAGACAAAGGCCCTTCACCTTTGCCAAATATCTGCACCTCCTAAGAGCTGTTGACAGGGAAAAGGCTGTATCAGAGATGGAATGTGAGACCGAAGTATGGGAAAAGGCCTCACCCAGGCTGCTGTTAGGTGTCTTCCTAACACATACCCAGGACTAAGAGAAACAATGTCTGGACATTGCAGAACAGGCAGCGTTCCTGGCCTGTCTGCCAAGAAGCCCATCAAAAGTGAGCTTTTGGTGACAAGGGCAATGGGTTTAACAAAGGTTAAGATGGGGCACACGAAGAAGGGAATTTAACATACGGATTGGTGGCTAATGACCACAGTTAAACTTTTAACTTTGTGGCAGTCAAAGAAGGCAGTAGCACAGCTTCTAGGCACTTGGTGTTCTGCACTTTGCCAAAGTAACAGCAAAGTTCAGATTGTAGGAAAGGAGTTTAATATAGGAGAAAGATCCCTGAATTTGGAGTCAGGAGGACTGGATTAGAGTGCTAACCCTGTTGCTCACTATCTGAGATTTTTTGGAAGTCATCTAACAATTTTGAGCCTCAAGTTTTATCATCCTTAAAATGAAACTACTGATATTTGCCCTGCCACCCAAAGAGTTGGTGTGAGGAGCAAAAACAATAAATATGAATTCTAAGAGTGCTGTAAATGTGTAAAGTATCCATAGTCCCTCATCTTTTGGTAAAGATAACAAATACACCTGAGATGGAACTTACTCCTTATCTTCTAAGTGTCCAAACTCAAGGAGCATTTGGTACACATCCTGTATAACCAAGCACCTAATAAATGTTTCTTGATAAAACTATCAAAAAAAGTGGAACATTATGTACCTGGAACTAATCCCCAAAGCCACTCTACCCAAGCAAGAGAACTTCCACCAGAACTAAGTAGCCTTAGATCAGTTTAATTAGTTTGAAAGAACAGTTGTCATAAGCATAGAGTCAGATGACTGGGGTTCAAATTCTAGTTCTCACATCCAATAGCTAAATGACTTTGAACAAATTAATCTCTCAGTGCCTCAGTTTCCCCATCTGTAAAATTAAGTAATAATACCAACCCATAGGGTTATTATGAGAACTAACAATGTTTCTAAAGTACTTAAAAAACGTACCTGAGTACAGAGTATACCTGAGTATAAACACAGTATAAGTGTTTGAAAAACAAATTGAACAAGTATGTGATTTCCTGGTACATATATAGTTATTTGGTTTCCCATATAGAAAGTAGTATCAAATTCTTTGTTGTATACTAGCCTAACTTTTTAAACTTTAAATTTAGGCTCAGGACAAAAGTCTAATCTATATGCACACATATACAAACGAAAAATGGCATTTTTACTTGTTTTTAGTTGCATTTTTGGTAGAGAAGTGATCAGTGGGCCATAGGTCATAACAACTCTAAAAATTTCAAGCTAGAATTACTCTTTAATGGATCTGTGGATCCCAAGTGTCCCATCTCTCTACTTGAAAATAAGGGCAGTGTGCATAAAAAGATACTTTAAATCTGCAGTAGGTAAATAGAACCTGAAATTTTAAAGTATCTGATCTAGGAATCTCTTGGTGTTTCTGCTTGTTATGAATGTATACTGACCATTTAAATATCTACACTTAGCAATCAATTGATATTATAATGAAGTTGAAGGGACCATGCAGATGCTGTGGATTAAGAAAAGCTGTTTCTTGGGGAATGTGGGATCATGAGGAACTTTTCACATTCAACATTAAATGTTCATGGAATATTCAAATTTTAATAAAATGCATGTATCACTTTGTAATAAAAAATTTTAAAGATTTTTTTAAGTTGTTTTATTAACTAATGCTATAATGTTTTATCCTGCCTCAGGCTTCCTGCTTTACACCCACTTTCTCAATTTTCTCAAAGAGAAACCAATGAATGGACTAGAGCCCATAAAAATAGTTTACCTGACCTATTTTTCAACTTCTTTCTGCCAAGGAACCCATCATGAATGAGCTTTTAGTGACAGTGACACTAGGCCTGACAAGCTTTGAAATGAAACATAAGAGAATTTGACACAGGACTCAGTAGTTATCAGCTTAAAATCATATTATTTTTGGTTGAACTTAATATATTTCACAATTATTTACCCAGAAGTTATTATCCATAAACAAAATCAAGATAGTACATTTTAAGTCTTCAAGAATTGACTAATAGCTGAGTAAGATAACCACACAAATTTAATACAAATCAAAAACATTTTAAAATATATTGATGACATAAGGGTAGTTCAAAAAAAATCAACATCAAAGAAATAATCAAACAAGCCTCGCTGTGGAAATCTGGAAATACTGTATGAAGGAGGTAGCATTCAACAAATACTCAAAGAGTTCATGAAACTACTTCTTTTATCCTTTTATTATAGCCAGTTTTAAAAAATTAATCATCTTTTAAACTTTACCCATTCCTTGGTCCTGTCCCCTGTGGCAACTGCCATTGTTCTACATGTATGGGTCTGTTTCCCTTTTGTTTATTCATTTGTCTCATTTTTTTAGATTCCACATATAGGTGAAATCATATGATATTTGGCCCTGGCTGGTACGGGGTATGGTTCAGTGGACTGAGCACCCGCCTGCAACCTGGAAGGTCACCAGTTCATTCCCAGTCAGGGCACTTTCCTAGTGGCCGGCTAGGTCCCTAGCTGGGGGCGCGTGAGAAGCAACTGATTGACGTTTCTATCCCTCTCTTTCTCCCTCCCTTCCTCTCTAAAAATAAATTAATAAAATCTTAAGAAATCATATGGTATCTGTCTCTCTTTGACTTATTTCACTTAGCATAATTCTGTCTAGATGCATCTATGTTGTCACAAATGTCAAGAATTTATTTTTTATTGCTGAGTACGATTTTGTTACACGTGTGTGTACCACATCTTTCTCCATTCATCCATCTATTGACGGACACCTGGATTGCTCCCATATCCCAGTTGTCGTAAATAATGCTGCAATGAACATAGGGGTACCCGTATCTTTTTGAATTGTTTTTTTTTTCCAGATACATACCCAGAAATGGAATTGCTGGGTCATGTGGCGATTAAGAAACCTCCATACTGCTCCCCATAGTGGCTGCACTAATTCATAATCTCACCAACAGTGCTTGAGGGTTTCCTTTTCACTACATCCTCACCGGCACTTGATATTTGTTGATTTTTTCTTTTTGATGATAGCCATGCTGATAGGTATGAGATGATATCTTACTGTGGTTTTAATTTGTTGAGCGTCTTTTTATATATCTGTTAACCATTTGTATGTCCTCTTTTTAAAATTATTTTTATTTTTTACTATCATCCAAGGACATTTTGCTATTGCTTTTTCGAGAGAGAGGAAGGGAGAGAGGGAGAGACAACCGAAATATCAAGGCACAAGGGGAGCATTGATTGGTTGCCTCTCATACACGCCCTAACAAGGAACAGACTGGGACTGGACCCTCAACCTCAGTATGTGCCCTGGCCAGGATCAGACCTCCAGCCTTTAGGTTTACAGTACGATGCTCCAACCAACCGAGTCACACCGACTAGGGTCACTTGTATGTCCTCTTTAGTGAAATGTCTATTCAGGCGCTCTGCTCATTTTTTAATTGGATTGTTTTTTGGTGTTAAGTTATATGAGTTCTTTATATATGTTGGATGTTAAACCCCTATCAGATGTATCATTTGTGAATATCTTCTCCCATTAAGTAGGTTGTGTAGCCTTTTAAGATTTTTTCTGATTATGAAAGTACTTTGTGGAGTAATAGATAAGTTTCTTTCAATGAAGCTGTTTTGTAAA